TCAATTGGACGTCCCGAACGAGGTGCATCACATGTGGATGTATGACCACGTTTAAATTCATTCACCCAATTGTATAGAGTCGCAAACGCTGGTGCAGATGTGTTATGAACATTATCCAACTCGGCTTTGATTTCTTTCGGTGTTAAAGCTTTCATATGTATGTTTGATCATTGCAAGAAATTCGTTTTTCCATCTTGCAAAAAATACAAAGGTTGTTCGCTTTAATTGTCTACAAAAATGAAACCACGCGATGAATTCCGCTCAAAATTTGACAGTAATTAGCTAAAAGATGCTACTTGTCAAAACGTAATGTGACATGACACTGCGAGTGCCCTGTGACAGATTTTCTAAGAACTTATTGACTTGTATAAATATTTTTGTCTTATGATGGAGGAACATGTGAAAAAGTTTTTTTACTGTGCAAAGAATAATAAAAATATTAAAAAATTAATTTCTACATAGATAGGAAATCCATCATGCCAATTTATATATGTAGTATATATTATATATCGCGCAAAACTTCAACAAAGTCAATAAAAATTGATAATAATGTATTGTCCCCAAAATATCCGATATGTCTTACGGAACTTTGGAGACAGTCCTCAATGTACTTAGAAAAAACCTAGAAAAAATATGTCTTCGAAAAGTACAAGTTTTATAGAATAATAACTTTGGGAACGCCCTCAAGTGTACGATTTGTGTGCAGAACTTTACAGACGGTCCTCGATGGAACCAAAAGTCCCCAAAAGAACCAATCCTTACTAAAAAGAGTCCCCGAAATTCACGATTAACATATATATATAGCATAATAGTCCGTACGGTTTTTTAGACACTTCCGGCAATTAAAAAAAAAAGATTTAAAGGTGATTATGTATCTATTTCATGCGGGCTACAACATGCGATAAAAAAATTTAAAAGATTGTTTTTAATAAAAATAGTCAACATTATCTTGAATTTTTTAAATAGCACCATACCATTTTTTTTCTATAATATTGTAGAGATCTTCAAGACGAATTCAACGCACTCAAGATTGTCACTTTCATTGATGGTTTATTGATTTTATTGATATACATAGACACATAATATTAGGGAGGGTTGCATTAAAAGCCGCTGTTCGTTTATGGTAGTAGCTGCGTATGGTCAGAGACATCTGCTACTTATATCATTTTGAAGTGTGAACATTTTCTACTAAAATTCAGTCAACAGACGTCATCCTTGTTTACATATATGCTTTTCTATAACTGAATTAAAATGGAACATGATAAGTTGTTTTTCCGATGTGTACTTCTACACTATTTTGATTTGAAAAAAAGTGCAGCTGAATCGATTGTTTGCGGAAATTTATGGTGAATCTGCTCCATCGGAAACAGTATGTAGAGATTGGTTTCGACGATTCAAAAGTGGTGATTGTGACGTTCACGAACAGGTCAACCGTAAAAATTCGAAGATGGACAACTGCAAGCTCTATTGGAAGAAAATTCAGCTCAAACACTCAAAGAATTGTCTCAACAACTCAAAGTCGATAAATCAACTATTTTACAACGTTTACAAGCTATGGGAAAGATTCAGAAAGAAGGAAAATAGCAGCCACATGAATTGACCAAAAATGCCATTGCCAACCATTTAAACATCTCAATTTCTTTGCTTGCAAAGCATAACAAGAAGAGTTTCTTGTGGCGTATCGTGACCGGCGATGAAAAATGGATCTTTTTCAACAACGCAAAAAATCATGATTCTGACCAACCATCAATATCGACTCCAAAGCGAAATATCCACAGTCACAAAGCAATGCTCTGTATTTGATGGGATATGGAGGGTGTCGTGTATTATGAGCTGCTTAAACCGAACGTTATTGATAACAATTGGAACATTTGAATGATAATTTCATGCAAAAACGACCATCAATCGCATCAAATCGTCGAAAGGTGATTTTACTCCATGATAACGCATGTCCACGGCCGCATGTTGCTATAGCCATGAAACAAACACTGATGGATCTTGAATGGCAGGTTCTTCCGCACCCAGCGTATTCTCTGGACTTAGCACCAAGCGATTATTATTTGTTCTGATCGATGCAACATGCTCTGGAAGATACACACTTCCATAATTATAGCGAAGTCGAAAATTGGGTTGCTGAATGGATTGACTCAAAAGACAGACCATTCTTTCGTCGTGGAATTCAACTTCTGCCTGAAAAGTGGCAAAAAGTCATAGCTTCCGAGGGAAAATACTTTGATTGAGGTATTCATATATTTTGTTATTGAAATAAGTGCTCAAATACAAAGAAAAAACAGCGGTTTTTAATGCAACCCCCTAATATTTATTACAAATACTCGTTAATAAAGGAATGCTTATGTGAACTTTATTAATTTATGTAAACAAATTTTATTGATTTTATTTATATTTAATATCAAATTTGCAGCATTATAAACATAAATTAATGAAGTAAAATTGTAATTTGTAAGCAAATGTTCTAATTGCTTGCCTTCTTCTGCAATACAAAGTTCTATTCTTTTTAATAAATTAGTATGCGTAGCAGCTATTATATTATTTTGATCCAAAGTTGCACACGAGCTGTAATTATTCTTTCTTAAAGATCTTGAATATTATTTATTATTTGATACAAAAGATTTCAGATGTCCCCATAAGAAAAATCCATCGGAGATAAATCCCGAGAACGTGCTGGGGCCATCGGATTGATCCATATGTACTTATAACACGATTTGCAAAGATATCCTGAAGATAATTTTGAACTATTCATGCATTATAAGCTGGGCAACCTCCTGTTGGAAACACGTACTCCCTCCATCATAGGAAATATTTCGCATTAACTCTGGCAATTGTGAATTGAGGAAGTGCAAATATCTGTATGATGTCAAATTTTCTTCGTGTGATAAATATGATCTAAAAATATGATCCAATTAAAATATATATCCAATTAAATAATGATTTAGTATATCGCACCAAACATTAATTTCTGTATAAAAAAAAATGAAAATACGTATGTATGTACGTATATAGATTAAAGGAGAAAAAAAACATAAGATCGAATACCTATTTTAATTGGAAAGTTCCGTTCTCGTATCCAATGCAGATTTTCTGATTACCAGAAATGTTGATTACGTCTATTATTGGCTATATCGTTATTGACCAATTTTGACTTATCTGTCCACATAATTCTAAGATACAAAAATTTCTTCATTAACAGTAGCAAGCAATGCTAGGAATTTTAAACGTCGTGTCTCGTCAATTGGACATAAATATTGTACAAACGTCAACTTAAATGAGGGATATTTATTTTCTTTAATTATTTTATATGCACTTCCAACTGATATGTTCGTTTCAGCAGAAATAGTACGAACCGACGAACATGAAAATAAGCCAATACTATTGCAGAGTTATCATTATTCGAAACAACACTTCGATTAGAATGTTTTTCATTCAATTTACCAATTTCCCGCAAATACTGTTCAATGTTTCTAAAAGTTTTTTCTGAGAAATGATTTCTATCTGGATATCGTTGCATGTACAAAACTGCAGCTTCATATTTCTTCTGCATTCACTAAATATTAAGAACATGTCAACTTTTTCCGAATTAAAATAATGATTCATTGCTGTTATTAATAGAACAATTAATATCCACTTAAAAAAAAAGACTCGGAGAATACTAGTAATCACTCATGATGAATATTATGTTTAAAATACGAAAGCATTTCCAAAAAATTTTCAATGTTTATGTTTATATCCGGTATGTTCTCCAGATAAATTTGATATTAAATATCAATAAAATTTGTTTACATAAGTTAATAAATTCGCATAAGTATTTTTTTATTAATGAGTATTTGTGATAAATGTGTCTATGTATAGCAATAAAATTAACAAAACGTCAATGAAAGTGACAATCTCGATTGTGCGTTGAAGACGCACTTCGTTGTTCGAAGATCTCTTTAATATTATGGAAAAAAAATTGTATGGTGCTATTTAAAAAATTCAAGATAACCTTGACTATTTTTATTAAAAAAAATTGTTTTGAACAGTTGTAGCTCGCATAAAATAGATAGATAATCACCTTTTAACCTTTTTTTTAATTGTCCGAAATGTCTAAAAAATCGTGCGGACCATTATACTGAACACCCTGTATATGTATATGTATATGTATATGTATATGTATCTTCTTCTTCTTCGTATGCTTATTCATTAATGGATGTTTGCGATTATATTTTGCATCTGTTCTCGCTGTATGTATCAGTTCTTCCACTGTGCGCAGTCCTGTCCATTGCCTTATATTACAGAGCCAAGATAACTTCTTATGTCCCACTTCTCTTCTTCCTTCTTTTCTTGTATAATTCTCTATAGTAGTTCGTATTTTATATATATTGTGCATGATGTGTCCCAGATGCCGTTTTCCTCTTTTTTATCATAATCAATATCTTCCAATCCTTGCCCATTTGTCTCAAAACGTCTCCGTTGGTGGTCCTCGCCTCCACGGTATCTTAAGTTCTTTGCCATAAACTCACATTTCAAAGACTTCCAGTCTATTCATTTCGAAAACCTTTAGTGACCATCCCTGCACTTCGTATAAAAGTACAGATATAACATAATGAATTTGATTCTCAGATTTAGATTAAAATTTTATTGCTTTTTCAATTTCCCCTTTGTGATTGCTGGGAACAATCCAATAAGATTGTTTATGTATATGTATATGTATATGTATGTATATGTATATATTCAATCTATCATTTATTTTTATTTTTTATTTATTCTTATCCAGATATTTATCTTGATTTTTTCGAGACGAGAAAAAAATGAACTGTTATATAATACAAATCTTAATTTATTACATAATACTAATCTTGTTTAATTTTAGACGATACGAAAAGTTTCAGGAAAATTTTGATATTTTCGTCAATAATAGCACAATCACTACAGCGTCAATTCTCATTAACCTATTGTCTCTTTTTATTTATTTGCATTTTCATCTTTTTATTCCTTTTTTCCAGATACGGTATCGTTGTTACTCAATTGATCGACGTGATGAATGTTTTAACAGGATTGATGAAAAAAACTGAGGATGACTTTAAAAAAGTAAATAGAAGATTGAGAAGAAAACGGAGGAAGGATTCAGATGAAGATCCAAATGATGCTTCATCGGTTTTGTGATGCATCAACGGCAACAAAGAACTGAAAATTAATAAAATGATTCAACTATCTATTAAGAATTGGCATTATAATGAAGAGATATGATAAATAAATAAAAATAAATATATCTCAATGTTAAAAAATTACTCCTTCTCTCTGCCATTCCTTTCTCCTCCTCCTCCTCCTCCTTCTCTCTCTCTCTCTCTCTCTCTCTCTCTCTCTCTTTCTCTCTCTACACACGTGTTATTTTGTCTCCATAATTAAACTATTTGTCTGATAAATTTATAATATTTTGTCTCCACTTTAAACTATTTTGTCTGATAAATTTGTTGAGAGATCGAACGGATTTAGACAATATTAAAAAGGTCGTGCAAGAAGTTTTAATTGATAAAGCTGATCCCATCAATAAGGGTCGTGATAACGCCAATTCAACCTCGTACGCATCTGCGGTAAAATCGCTCTCGTCTAAGATCTGCAGTCTCGAGATCCAGTCTTAGAGGTGCCCACATTCACTAACTTCTTTGTAGTGCCCGAAAAGAACACAGACAGATTTGTATCTTCACAGGACACTAAGAAGACTGTACTTAATGTGCTTAAGCGCAGTGTTCCCTCAAGGTCAACAAGATTTCGCGTATACACTAAATAAAGATATTAGAATCAAAGCAAACAAACCAGATCTGGCTAAATTGAGGTCTTGTACGGAATTAGCGAATACCGGACTTAAGATGATGGAGAATATAAAAGTGAATCCTCGGATTATAGTCCATGGTGTGCCCACCGAAATGAGAAGAAATCAAAACAAAAGTTATCACCCAAAATCTCGAAGGGATTGCGGATTCTGATCTGAAAGTCACATACATTTATAGGCTGAAGAGTAAGGCAGGAGGGTTACGAGTTGTGTCTTGGAAATATCGTCTGTAGTCCGAAGGAATCTAATGAAGAGTGGTCGTATCTATCTCCATTTTGCTACGTATAAGTTTGCTGATCATATACGTATACTATAGTATTTTAGATGTCTAGCCTTTGGCTAAGGACTGCGTTCTTGTGTGGACATTGTTCTGATGAGCATGAGATGAAGGATTGTATTAAGAAAATAGACTCAAAATGTGACAACTGTGCACACACAAGAGGTCCATTGTCTAATAACTTAACACACTCTGCGATATGAAATGTTCAATTTTGAACAATAAAATTAAAGATAAAATTGCATATATTAACTATGACTAATCTCCGAGGGTGTTCTGACGACTTAAAAATCTCTCATGTTAATTGTCAATCGTTGGTGACACACTACGATGAGTTTTATAATTTTTTCACCACTTCGAATTATCACATAATCTACTCGATTAAGACGTGACTAAGATACTTAGACCTGAAGTGTAGATACTATAATCGACCTTCCTAGCTTTTTGTTACTCAGATGGGATAGAGTGGGCAGACATAGTGTGATCTTTTATTTTCATAACTTCAGACTTCTCTTCTCAAGTATTCGGAGATTGGTTGTTCTGATAGATTTGAATTCCTGATTGTTGAAAAAAGATTCGAATCTGCGTTTAATCTTTTGCTTGGAGTGTTATATAGATCTCCAAATACTGAGTACCTGAATGAATTTTAAAATCAATTTTTGTATCTTCAAATTAATTATGGGCACTCTATCATTTTTGGGGATTTCAAAACTGATATCCTTACGGATACGTATGATAGATGCAATTGAAAAACTTTATCGACTCTGCTAATTTGTACTGTGTACCATACTAGACCACGCATCACTTGAGAGACTCCACCTTACTTGATCTTGTATCGTTAATGACAGTACGAAGATAATTGGTTTTGGCTAGCATGATATGATATTTCTTTCGGCCCATGATCTTATATATATCAGGTACAGTATCAGGATATAACAATGCTCGGACAGATTCGTTACGTGTCATAACTTCAAATTTTTCAATGAGGAGGTCTTTCTCTCTGAAATATACAAGGCCTGGTTGATTGAAGAAAGGTCCATTGATCAGAAGATGGATATGCTAAAGCATGCACCGCTGTAAAGGATTCACTCCAAAAATGCTCCAACTCCGTGGATCACTGCTGAGCTCAGGAGGACAATGCTGGAAAGAGATCTTGCCAGAAAGGTGTAGTGCGAGAGAGGTACACATAAACAGCTATCGGAGCTTCAAGCTGGTCTGAAATAGAATGCACCGCAGTGAAAACGGCCAAAAGTGATTACTATTTGTCAGCATTCTGCGGCTCTCAATCCACCGGGGAAGTCTGGAATAAGTTGAGGCATCTTAGTCTTGTTAAGGCCAAAAGTAACAATTCACAACTTTAATATATACAGTAGATAAACTGAATGCTTATTTTTCTTAGGCCGGTGAACGAAGTACTGATGACATTGACCTCGAATGGGAAAAAAATTTGACGATAGTAAATTTTACTGGAATTACTCCGATGAACATTAATCAAACATTTTTGGTCTTATGAGATCTAGCGCGGTTGGCTCTGATGGTGTCTAGGTTGCTGAAGCTTGTGACGTCTTGTATTTTGCCTGTGATAGAGCACATTTTTAACTTTTCATTAATATATGGTGTTTTTCCTGCCCAGTGGAAGTCTGGGGTGGTGTATTCTATCCCTAAGATGAGGAATTCTGCAGCCGTTAATAATTATCGATCAATTTCAATACTTCATACGCTGAAGACAATGGGAAAAATTATGTGTCGGCAAATTTATTCTTTCTTAGAGAGTCTTCGACTTGCTTGACAGTCTGCCTACAGAAGGATTCATTCCACACAAATATATCTAATCAGTACATGGATGACATCAATACATATGCTGCAGATTAGAGGAGAGTCACTGTTCGTGTTTTATTTGATTTCTCAAAAAAACTTTGACAGAATAAACCATTAATAAAAAAACTTAGATTAACTTACTTATGCGCCTCTCTTACTCGGTGCTTTTATGGGTTGCATCATATCTCACGGTAGGACACAAGTGATCAGGGTGGAGTGGCACCGAGTCCATCCTTGCGGATATTACTGTTGGTGTACCGCAGGGCTCTGTTCTTGAGCTTGTGCTTTTTAATTTATATTTATCGGATTTTTGGGAGCACCCTTAGTAACTGTAGATATAATTTTTATGCTGACGATTTGATTATTTATTTGGACTGCGAACCATCAAGGCTAGTGGAAATCATAGGAAGAATTAACAAGGATATAGACCATAGTTGACTGACTCAGCTATGACCAATAAGCTCTTAATAAATGAGGCTAAAACGCAAGCTATCATTGTGGGTACAGCATATCAATGCCATCGATTTTGACTATGCTAAGCATCATGAAAGCATTGAAATCCCTCTTCGATTCGTGAAGGAGATTAAATATCTTGGAATTGTGATGTTCAGCAGCATGTCGTGAGACAAACAGGTCAACAATACGACGAAGAAAATAAGAGCTGTGCTGTATCAGCTTAAATTGTGCAGATGCTTGTTGCCGGAGTCTCTCAGGATTAAGTTTGCTGTTGCTCTGGTCCTCCCTTATTTATTGCGGTGCTTACACTGATATGATATTGGAGCAGGATGTCAAATTGAGAAGGGCCATAAATACTTATCTCAGGTTCGTCTATGGGGTGAGATGAGATGATCACATCACACTTTACTATAGGCATGCACGCTGGTTGCAGATAAGCGTCAAAAGACAGTATTTCGTTTGTTGTCTGTTGTACAGTATTCTTAAGACTGAGCGGCCTCAGCCTCTTCTCTCTCATTTTGCGTACCGTACCAAGGTGTCGTGCAGACAAATTAGATCGCCTAGTGATTTATTGGTGCTGCCGCAGTGTCGCACAGAATTCTATAAACGGTTTTTCCGCTCTACTGCTACCGATCTATGGAATAATCTCCCGCAGGATATACGCTCTTCGAGTTCCATAAATATCTTTAGGCAGAAACTCTATGCGCATTTGTTCACAAATTCATAGTAATATTAGTCTACAAGTTTTCAATTCTGAGACAATAATGCATGTTCTTTGAGATGCTCCATCTTTTTGCATGTTTATGCACATTTAGTATGTATATCAATAGCCATATCTTAGTTTTCTGCATGTGTATTTATTAATCACGTAAATTCTTATCTTTATAGAATATGCTTGTTCATATTTTTCTTTATAATTTTTGTATATTATTTCTTCAGAATTTATTCTTTTTCGATGTATACTTAATTGAATCTTTTCTGTATATTGGTTTTAGTTTTTGAGGGGACCTATCCCAGAGTGCATAATAAATGCTGCTTCTCTCTGTTTCTCTCTCTTTCTCTCTCTCTCTCTCTCTCTTTCTATCTGCTTCTCTCGCTCCCTTCCTTCCTTCCTCCCTCTCTCTCTCTCCTGATTCAATTTTTAATTCAATAAAAAAATTTTTTACATTACCGTACATACCGAATGTCTCAAATGCGATCACTTCATTTATCAACAAATCTGCCTTTATAATTGGATTTAGATGTCAGAATAGATTGAATCCCTTTATCAAAGTACACAAGGATAAACTCGACAAGTTTTCCTCTCAAAATGTCTACAAAATTAATTGTAACAATTGCGGAGCCTCGTATGTTGGGCAGACAAATTAATAATAAGAGACAAATTAATAATAAGAGACAAATAAGAGACAACTTAAAACTCGCATTAAAAAACATAAAAGCAATATTAAGAGTGACTCATCGAGACATATAGTTATCACAGAACACATATTAAATTATAAACATACTTTTAATTCGGAAGACAAAAAAATTTTGGATATTGAAACTATTACAATAAAAGAATGATTTCAGAGATGCTGCATATTAAAGAACAAAATAGTAGCATAAATTCACAAAAAAATACAGAGCGTCTCGAAGAGTCTTATTGTAATTTATTACAGTCTCTAACAACGGATAAATAATAACAGTTTTGATATTGCTCTCTTGTTTGTCTTCGTGTCGATCTTTCCATTTGAATCTGTGTGTTTGACTGAATTGGAATAGTTTGCATTGACTCCTCGGGTTTTGATTTAAGTTCTTGATTTCTATTTTGTATAATATTAACCGTTTTTCAATATTATTTTCTTTTTAACAATCACTAGACTACAAAATCAAAATTTTTATTTCATTG